TGCGTATTAATTATGTATTCACATTGAAAAAGACTCAAGTCAGAGTCGAAACGTCTGTGAAAAACTAGTTACCTGTTTTTATTAAATATATATTTTTTGCTACCACCTAAGTATTTTGGCTCGATTGGACCTTAGTTTCTTATTTATACTTACTTATTCCATTTGGAAGACTGGCAAATATTCCACTTCCAATATCAGTTCTTTTATTTGTTTGTGAATTTTTAGAATGTGAATTGTGTGAAGATGAGTGATGTGAATTATCTGATGATGACGAGTCTTGTGAAAATGAGTCTGATAAATCTGATGAATTCGAATCTGTGTTGTTTTTGTTTAGTTGATTTAATTGTATTTTATTTTCTTTAATGTTTGTATCAATTGATTTATTTTGAATGTTTGATTTTGTGTGATCAAATTCTCCAAAAAATGTTGTTACATTGTCATTTGATTTATAAACTGGTAACTTATAAACTGGTGTATGTGAAAAGGCTGCCGGTAAAATAATTGTGTTTTGTTTGGTATTATGTAATGGTGAAGAGAGCGGAGCAGAGATGGAAACAGAGGCTGAAGCATGTAAATGTGAATTTGATGATGTGGAGTTGAAATTTTGTAAATTATTATAAGATGTGTGATTATGAAATGAAGTCGAAGAACAATATGATGAACAATATGTGTTTGAATTATTAAACAAAGATGATGTATGTGAAGATGTTGGATGTACCTGAGACTGTGATGACGATGACGATAATGATGACGCATTGATGGAAGAGTACATATTCGGGGTAAGTGTAATATTGGATAAAATATGCGGTTTATTCGCTATTTTTTCTTTTGGTTGCTTTTTAGTGGACCATCTTATATTTTCCGTTACTTTTTTGTATTTTTTTCCTTTATTATATTCGTCTATAATATCAGCGTTAAAAATTTATTTTGTCAAATCGTGAATTTCCCCACTAGACGATACAATTAATTTGTGTAATTCATTTTCATTATCTGTAATAAAAATAGATACTAATAATAATATGTTTTTGATGATTTATAAAACATAGATATTTTTAACATAAAAAGATAACTTACCGCTTATGACAAGAATTTTTGCCTCAGCCTTAGTTTCTTTTTGTGTGTTGTAACTTTTTTCCATGTTAACTTTATTATTTTATTTAAATTTCTACATTTTTTTTGGAATAATTGATAACTTCACAACATCTTTTTCTCAACTTTTCAGCCACCAAATTAAAGCAAATTTTTTTTTGTTTAGACATAATGTATTTGTAATTTATTTATAACTGTAATTAGTTTTTAAATAAATTTTTGTTGTTACGACAATTTTCCTGTCACGTCGAGACTGCAATGTGATCTTGCAACGGATAAGATTTTGTTTTTGTCTATCATTGCGATTTTCTGGTGTTGATATGCGAGATCGTTGCTATCAATCAGGCCAGAATAGTTTTCTTGTGTATGCGGGACAACTTGTCATATTGTAAATAATATGTCGTACAAATCAATCGGACAAGTTTGCAAAAAACAGCAACATATTCGATTAAAGGCTGTTTTAGAAAATAATTTCGATATTCTACCGGATCAGAATTCTCAATTGGTATTATATAATCAAAAGTAAGTATTATTTGATAACCTAATAATTTTTTAATACTCTGATAAATTTGATAAATAAATTTCAATATCACTTTTACTACTTTATTAACACGTCTAGATTTTTAATCAACCATATGTTGAGATGTACGTAAATGCGACGTGTTGTAAAAATATTGACAAGAACAGCGTATAAATATTTTGGTACATAACATTTATATAAAACATTTGTAGTCGTATATTGATTATTGTAGTAGTAAATTGATCTGCAATACATACATAATTACATCTATCATGTTTAAGAGTCTTATAAACAATTGCATAATGTTGGTGATAACTATCGCAAATAAGTTGATTACAATTTGATAATTTAACAAAACAATAAAGAGAAGCTAATTTTTTTTTATAATTCTCATAATATTGGACTACAAATGACTCATTTTGCAAAGATTGATTATACAATTTTGATACGTAAAGTTTGTTATGGTACAGAAATTATAAATATGGATATAAGTATGGATATAGTAGAAACTTTTTATAAACTATTGTATTAATGTCAAATGCATTTTAAATAATGTCTGTAATTGGTATTTTAAATTTTTTACTAACAATATATTTACACATCTTGTACATTCTCATTTTTTAAATATTTTGTCTTTTTAATAATGTGTTAAATATTGGTAAAATACGATATAAAAGTTTAGATAAAAGTTTTAAATAATTAATATTGTTTTTAATTTTATAGCAATCAAGATGAAATAGAAAACGAACATGAGATAATACAATTTATTCAAAATGAGAAAATTAAAAATAAATCTATGTATGCGACGTTAGTAATAATTATTAAAATAAAAGTCTAATATAATGTATAAGTATATATATATTCAAAAAATTGTATTAAAAACATTAAAAATTATATTAAAAATTATATTAAATATATTTATTATTTAATACATAGTTGTGGTAAAAAATAATAAAACCTTGAATTATTATATTAAACGAATTAAGATATTTAAAGTTCATATAGTTTAAAACTAGTGATGAATTTCCGGTAGTAAAAGTTCGCTGGATGTTTTGCGGATAAATATATTTTAAATATATTTATATTTTAAGAGTGTAAATTCTTGCACATTATTTTTGAATTGAATGTTTTAATTCTTAAAATCATATAAGATGCTTGATTTGCATCACATATATAAGAATACCAGTTTATCCTTCCCAATTAATTTAGAAATTATATTGCGAAAAAAAACACCTTGGCCAGCGGCCATATAAATATATTTATCCGCAAAACACCCAGCGAACGGCTCTTACTACTTGAAATTTACTACTAGATTTAAACTTGAATATTGTTATAAATGAGCGTAATTCAAGTAATATATATAGTTATACTAACAGTAAATATGATTGTAGGAATTATGAATCTACTGATGATGATATCGGTTCAACTTTCGAGAAAAGTGATAATTCAGAGACATTCACAATAGAATTTATGATATTGGCAATGAAAATATAAATAATGATATTGATAATGATATCAATAATGATTTTGAGGATAATGATAAATCTAATGACAATATTAATGATGATATTAAAGATAATAATGATGAATTAAATAATAATATTAATGATGATTTTAATAATGATCAAAATGAACCTTTATACTATGGTGCTGAAATAACTGTTGATAGCATGTTGTTAATTTTATCTCTTCTCTTACATCACGATCTTACTATGTCATATATTGCATTATCACAGTAATTGAATTCCATTGTCCATCTCCTCGAAATTTAAGAAAAAACAATTTGTATAAATTAAAAAAATTTTTTTGTTTGAGTGAAACTGATGCTGTTAGACATCATTATTGTACATTTTGTAATCAAAAATTAAGATTAATGCATGATATTTGTCCATTGTGTCATCAAACAAATAATGCTTATTTTATCGAGGTATCTTGCATAAATTGGTTAAGAGAAATGTATACACGACCTTCATTTTACGATAAACTTCAAAGTAGATTTCAACGACCAATGCAACCAGAAACAATAACAGATATTTATGATGGACAACTTTATCAAGAATGGACAAATAACGAATTTCTTCGGGATCGTAATAATATTTCTTTTACGTGGTACACTGACGGTATACCAGTTTTTAAATCATCAAAAATAAGCATTTGGCCATTATATCTTACTATTAATAAATTACCTTTTGAAGATAGAAAAAGAAGAGAAAATACTTTACTTGTCGGATATTGGTATAATGATAAAAAACCGCAAATGAATATATTTTTGTATAAATTTCTAAAACAATTACAAGAAATTGCTGAAGGTATTCAAGTCAGATTACCTAATAATACTTATATTATTGTAAGAGGTATTGTATTAATGGGAACTTGAGATCTTCCTGCAAAATGTGAATGTTTAAATTTTATTCAATTTAATGGCGATTATGGCTGTCATTCATGTTTGTGTAAAGGCAAAAACATTAAAATTAATTCTCGAGATCATGTACATGTTTTTCCTTTTGAAAATAACTTAACTTTAAGAACATCTCAACAATCGATTGAATTCGCAACTAGAGCAAGATCAGACAAGCCTTTTATGGGAGTAAAAGGTCATACAGTTATATCAAAAATAATGCTAAATTTTATTAATGGAATAGCAATTGATCGTATGCACTGCGTTGATGGTGGAGTGATGAAAAAGCTGATGATATTATTTTTTGATCAAAAATATTCACATACTCCGTTTTCCTTGTACTCAGTTATTGATATTATTAATAGACGATTAACAAGTATAAAGCCACCAAAATTCATTCATTGTATGCCGCGTACAGTTGTAGATTTACTGCATTGGAAAGCATCTGAATTAAAATGTTTTTTCTTTTATTATTTTGTTCCCGTTTAAGGCCCAGCTCGCTATGGCCCCAACCAGTTTTAGAACCAAAAACAACTTGNAAAACGTGGCGGATTTTCTAAAGAACGCCATTACAAACGCCTTTGAATTAAACTGCTCACCAAAACCCAGGAATCCGGTGAACAAGATCCACTGGTGGAATAAAGAGCTCGCTAAGCTCAGATTGGATACGAGAAAGAAATTCAGTAAGGCGAAAAAAACAGGATTTGCAGTACACTGGGAGGCCTTTAGAAGCTCCCAACGAGAGTACAGCAAGGAAATTAAGAAATCAAAATGCAAAAGCTGGAGACGTTTCTGTNAAAGCATTGAGAGCGCCCCGGAGCCATCCAGGCTTCACAGAATCCTCAGCTTGGACCACCGTCCTCAATTAGGCTGTCTCAAGCTCCCAACGAGGAATGTCACTGAGGAGGCAACGGACACATTGAAACATCTACTAGAAGTCCACTTCCCAGGTTTTGATCATAACATACAACCCTGCCGACCGCAGCCTAGGGAATATAAACCCAGGGACTGGCGTCTGGCAGCTGAGGTTGTCTTTCCAAAGGGAGTTGAGTGGGCTGTTAAGACCTTCTCTCCCTATAAATCACCTGGACCAGATGGAATCTACCCGGTTCTTCTCCAAGAAGGGCTGGGGATTCTCATAGGTCCACTCACAAAAATCTTCAGGGCTAGCATAACCCTAAGACACGTCCCCCAGGCTTGGGGTGGCACAAGAGTAGTCTTTATAC